ACATTTCATGACGTTACATTTAGAGCTATGGTTTGTCTTCATATAACGCTACAATCGGAATGATAGAAATACATTTTGGAACATTGTCTGTAAGTTTCACAATAACGTTATCATGACTTATGTGGGGACTAAAATAACTTTGTGGTCACGTCCTGGAATGTAATTTTGTTAGCTGGGTACATAAAACATCCTCCATTCAGGCTGCAAAGATTTCGGTTTTCTCCTTAACTATACTGAACAAAAATATAAACGCAACATGTGAAGTGTCGGTTCCATGTTTCAAGAGCTGAAAGAAAAGATTCCAGAAATAATCCATACGCACAAAAAGCTTATTTCTCTCAAATTCCATGCACAAATTTGTTTACACCCGTTTTAGTGAGCACTTCTCCTTTTCCAAGATAATCCATCCACCTGACAGGTGTGGCATATCAAGAAGCTGATTAAACAGCATGATCATTACACAGGTGCACCTTGTTCTGGAGACAATAAAAGACCACTAAAATGTGCATTTTTGTCACACAACACAATGCCACAGATGTCAGAAGTGTTTTTTTATTTTATTTTTATTTTACCCCCTTTTTCTCCCCAATTTCAATCTTGTCTCATCGCTGCAACTCCCCAATGGGCTCGGGAGAGGCGAAGATCGAGTCATGCGTCCTCCGAAACATGACCCGCCAAACCACGCTTCTTTACATCCGCCCACTTAACCCAGAAACCAGCTGCACCAATGTGCTGGAGGAGGAAACACTGGCGACTGAAGTCAGCCTGCAATCGCCCGGCCCACCACAAGGAGTCACTAGAGCGCGATGAGCCAAGTAAAGCCCCCCAGGCCAAACCCTCCCCTAACCCAGATGACGCTGGGCCAATTGTGCACCGCCCTATGGGACTCCCAGTCACGGTCAGTTGTGACACAGCCTAGGATCGAACCCTGGTTTGTAGTGACGCCTCAAGCACTGCGATGCAGTGCCTTAGACCGCTGGGCCACTCGGAAGGCCAGATGTCTCAAGTTTTGAGGGAGCGTGCAATTGGCATGCTGACTGCAGGAATGTCCACCAGAGCTGTTGCCAGAGAAACCATCTCAGGGAAGCTCGTCTGCACGCTCGTTGTCCTCACCAGGGTCTTGACCTGACTGCAGTTCCGCGTCGTAACCGACTTCAGTGGGCAAATGCTCTCCTTCGATGGCCACTGGCATGCTGGAGAAGTGTGCTCTTCACAGATGAATCTCGGTTTCAACTGTACCGGGCAGATGGCATTGTGTGGGCGAGCGGTTTGCTGATGTCAACGTTGTGAACAGAGTGCCCCATGATGGTGGTGGTGTTATGGTATGGGCAGGCATAAGCTACGGACAACAAACACGATTGCATTTTATCGATGGCAATTTGAATGCACAGAGATACCGTGACGAGATCCTGAGGCCCATTATCGTGCCATTCATCCGCTGCCATCACCTCATGTTTCAGCATGATAATGCATGACCCCATGTCGCAAGGATCTGTACACAATTCCTGGAAGCTGAAAATGTCTCAGTTTTTCCATGGCCTGCATGCTCAGCAGACATGTCACCCATTGAGTATGTTTGGGATGCTCTGGATCGACGTGTACGATGGGTTTGCACAATGAGCACTTGTTGTCTTTAAAATTCATTGTTACAGTTCTTGGTTAGCTAGCTAGCAAATGTTTTACCATATTAGCATAGACATGACATGAGTCAAAACACATGATATCAATAACAGAATACAATGAGCTGAAACGAGCCACCGACGATTCCTCACATGGCAGCTTGTATAATTTTTGTGACGTTGTCAACCAACCCGTCGATAGGAAGACCCACCTAGTTGACTACTTCAAAATGGTGAAAGTCCTCAATGTGTTTTATTAAGACATATTTTCTATGTTATTTTGTTGTTGCATTAGGATGTCAGAGCTCGAACGATGTCAGGAATAATAGCACCCTCTGGCAGACCTTGGGGCTGGCCAACAACTAGCTCCCAGACTCCCACCAGGCTTCTTCTACAGTAGGCTACAAAGTCAACGCGAAAGCAAACATCCTCAAAAAATCCTTAATTCCCTCTGCAATAACAATTTAGAAAGTACATTTATACACAATATATATATTTTAAAAAATGTTATTGATTTATCAGACGCTCTTATCCAGAGCGACTTACAGTAGTGAGTGCATACATTTTCATACTTAAAAAAAAACATTAATGCTACTGCACGTTAGCGCCTACCTTTTTATTTTATTAATGTATATCAGCATTGGAGTTTTCAATGTGCATTATAGACCTATGTGAGATACGCGTCAAAGACAACTTCCTTCCATCCTTTGATGGACGCTTTCTGAATTGAATTGAATGGACACCTGTTAGAAGCCTAGGTCTACTGTTATGATGCCTGGTTGTGAATGCATCAGATTCTCCCTGAAACATAGAAAATGAAATTAGGCTTAATGATTGCACTCACAACCACCTAACGCAAATGAAATTAACAAAGTCATTGTATGTGGGTATGGTGCCATGACGTAATATACTGTAACACTAAGACATGGACACGTTAAAACAGTATTCAATGATTAACTTACAGATGCATTAAGATAGGAACACGGTGTACTACAGGTATATCATAGTACTGTAATATTGACATGGAGTATTCAAATTAAAAACACTAAATGAACAGGAGCCTATAGTATACAGGTACAGATAATGTAATACTTTACAACCTTGTAATAGCAGCATAAAACATTCACATCACATCACACATACACACGGGCTCGTGAACATGAAAAACATCAAAAAGTGGGGGTTACTTGTTTCAGGGACCACTCACATTCCCAGGAGAAATAGTCAGACCAATGTGTGATAGAGATAGAGGCTAATATTCTCACAATAACACTGAAAATACAGTAGCTTACAGCTCCATTTAGATAACAGTTTGCGGTGACAGATAGTTACTGGATGTCTGCCAGAGGCTGAAGGAGGTGAGGAAATAGAATTCACAGAACCCACTCACACACACATGCACATACAAACACACAAACACACACACACACATAATCAGACATACTGATTCTGTGTGTTTATCAAACAGGATACATCACTGCAGAGTAAGAAGAGAGAAGGGGAGAAGAGATGACGAAAAGAGTGAAAATAGATAGAAAGAAGAGGGAGAGGGTAAGAGGAAACTGGAAAGGCTTGTAGCTGCATACCCTTTTACCTTTATAATACATATACAGAAATAAAACATATTTACACATAAATGTATCTACCTTCAATGGCTTCATGTTGATCTTTCCATGTTCCTAAAAAGGCCAATGTCACCATCCTCTCACAGGTCTATAAGACCCATATCACATTCAACCTGTCAGATTTACACTCAGAAAACTATTTACACTTAGACACTTATAGGCACAGTACAGTCTAATGCCCTCAGATGTACAGAGCTGGGTTGTTCCATGAATAGAGAGCCTTTTTGCATCCCTTTGATATTAAAGTACAACTTGTGCACCAATATTGCATTTTAAAAGTCTGTTACATTAAATGAAGTGCCCTTAAATATAGACCACATGGAGAATTCAATATATCAATATATTCAATATATCAGATTTTTATATGAATAAAGATTTGCTAAAGTCAGCATTTTTACATGTTTCTTCGTGCACCGTCTGTGACTTCTAGGACGAGTTTAACCAACTTAACCATAACATTTCTCCAAGTTTTCACTATCATAGTAAAGCCCTAGTTATTTTGTTTCTTTGACAAAGTCATCTCTGAAGATTATAATTTATTTCATGTGATTAGTGATTCATTTACGTCTGTCCCTCATTTTAAGGTCAACCCTGTTACGTGAACTGAACTCTAATGTTAATATGGTGAAACTATTCCTATATAAATATTTTAATCAAAAGAAACATTGAACATCTAATAGTCAAATCATAGGGTAAAAGCAGGTGAGCTGGTTATACCCTTTTTGGCCCTTTTCAGGTGTTTTGTGGTGGAAAACTGAGCCGGTCAAGCATAACACGTCAACCCTGTTACCCATAGATAGACAGGCTAGATATTTTTTAACAATTTACAACATTTTGTGAAGCTGGCATTCAATTGCCACTCCCTGCTGCACACAACAAGCTTCCATCCACCTTTCACAAGGGTTTTATGGCTGATTTAAGATTAAATCATCAACCCTTTTACGGTCAACCCTGTTACTTCATTTGGCACTTAATAGGCACATACTATATATTTTTTTTTATTTAACCTCTTGAGATGGGAAAATGTTTTTTTGTTTAGTTTTTTTGAACATGTGCTCTTTATGACAGAATGTAAAAAATTTGGTAAAATGAAACGTTTTTTGGGGACCAAGCTACACTTTTCAAAAGGCACCGAATTGGCGGAACAACCCAGCTGTGTTTTAGTGCCCTTGACAGTGCCCTACAGAAGCACAGAGAGCTACTGCCTTTTGGTTTTCAGTACATTCAAGTAACGTCCGGAATCAAGTGTATTCCCATTTTATCATCCCATCTACTGCGTCTTTCTGACTCCAAACCTTACCAGCTTCAGGACATGGTGGTTGGCCAACCACATATCCACACTTCTGTTGTTCTTAGTATCACGTTTGTAACAATACATATTTATATTATCTAAGGATCAATCCAGCAGTCTTAATAACACAATTATGTTCCACTCTACAGTTCCACTCCACAGACATATAGAAGCCCTTGATGAGTTTGTTGGCAGTCCAGCATCAACTTTGGAGTTGCGTCTGATATTTACAATATGGCTGGGTTTTCCCCCCTTTCAAATGCACAAGGACTCCTTACTTGACTTAGCCCCTGGTAAGAGTAGTGACAACAATGTGTCCATATCAAGGTGGTTCTAGTTGGTCGAATCAGGGTCAGGGTCAGGATAGTGTCTGAAGATCTTGTGGATCCACCGGTTGTAGGATGTCTCAAGGTTGGGTCTAGTCTCTAGTTGATGATGGGATAAAGGTTTGTGCCTAGTTGAGCTCTAGTTGATCTGAGGTTCAGGGTAGTGTCTGAACACCTTGTGGATCCACTGGGTGTAGAAGGGGACGTTGATGAAGATGCCAGGGCGGTTGGCGCGGGCACAGCCTCTGCCATGGACACTGACCCCCACTATGACCCTGCTCTCTCCTTCCTGGCACACCAAGGGGCCGCCATAGTCCCTCTGACGGAGAGAGACATAAAACATACATTAGTAAGGAAATACAGTACTCTCCTGGGAGAGCAATCTCTGTTCAAGTGTTTCAGTGCAGAACATTTCATTAGCAGTTCACCAGCCTCCTTACCTCACAGACCCCCTCGTCCCTCCTCCCCCCAGCACAGATCTTGGCGTCTGTGATGTGGAGGTTCCCTCTGTGTTGTTCTCTACACCTCTCATTACTGACCATGGGCAGATGGACCACCTTCAGTACACCTTCATGACCCGTCCCTGAGAGAGAGAGAAGGGGGGGATTTTTGTCATGACAATGGGACATCAGTAGAGCTAATGAGTAACCAGTTCCTTATCTAGATGATAAAATCCTGATGGGTGTGATGGTATGTGTGTGTACCTTTGGTCTCGCCCCATCCATACATGCTACACATCGTACCCTCAGAAATAGAGCACCCAGCCACCGGCAGCTGAATGGTGTGGACACTGTCTGCAGGGAGGGCAGGCCTTACAGAGAGAAAGACAGAATCATATCAACAAAAAGTTATCTCAGGAGTAGAACACGTATGTAAAACGACCAGGTGTGTTTGTATACTCACTGGGCCAGCCGTATGAGGGCCAGGTTGGAGCCCTCAGGACCACAGACCACATGGGAGATGGAGACTTCCTGTCTGAAGGAGCCGTTAGGAGCCGAGCCACGGAGGTCTGACACACCCAACCACACACGGTACTCACTCAGGTCTGGAACGCTGGGTGGAGACAGGTAGATGTAAGTATGGTGTGACGTACCGTGGAGAAGCCACCAGGGGGAGACTCGTCGAGGCCTGGTGAAAGACGGAGTCTACATCACACGTCAGTGGCTCCCTCTGCTGGACGTGCCAGGTCTCGACGGGTCCTCCGGCCAGGACTAATTGGGGATGATTGAGGCTGGTGAGTAATCAAGGGGCTGATTGCTCACCAGCCATACAGGGCCCATAAAGCTTCCAGGAGGGCAGCACACAGGAGAGTTGGAGGTAGTGAGAGCTTGCTACCGGCTAGAAGGCCTCACAGTCTGCTAGAACCGAGTGGCTCGGTGGTCTACCCCAGAGGAGACAGCATTCCCCAGAGCTCAGAAGGCGGTAACCTGGAAGAGGTCTCCTGGTGGAGACCTGTTTCTTTTATTTTTCTTTATTATTTTAAATAAACACCCTTGAAACTGAGGTATCACACTTGTGTCTGATCTGAGTAAACGTCTAGCTCAAACCCCCTGGTCTGCCACAATAGTAAAGGAGGGACAGAGGAAGAAAGGAAAAGAGCTAAAGAGAAATATAGAGCGGGAGAGAGAGGTGCAGTTACCATGAGGAGAAACACTGTCTGTCAGTAAGAACCCACTCCTCTCGTATGAGAGAACCTCCACACCAGTGACTGGACCTGGTGAAGGAACACAACACACGATATCACACACTGGGGATGGACCTTTACTAAAACCAACACTGGGACAGATGGTCAGTATACATCTGCCACAAGAGCAGTTTATACCTATATTACACAGAGAAACAAAGCCAGTTGCGTGTTTGTGTGTGTGTACCCTTTCTGTATGCTGACCATCCAGCTTCCATCTGTAATGGCGACTGGAGCTCCTCCTACTATCCTGGTCCTCTTATGGATGAAACACGACACCTCCACTGATAAGTTGAGAAAGAGGAAACTAAAAAAATGTTTTACCCAAAGAGGTACAAGATGAAAACATGAAAACCAGAAGGCGTAAGTTGAGGGACTGACCTCTCTGTGGAATGGTGTTCTCTGATGGTTCACCTGTATGTCAGAGGATGAAACACAAGATGGAGGTCTCAATGACAATGCCACTACAGCAGTTGTGTGTGTGTGTGGGGTGGGTGCGTGCGTGCGTGCGTGCGTGCGTGAGAGAGAGAGAGAGAGAGAGTGAGACTCACATGGTTTGATGCTGCAGTAGTCCCAGGGTATAGCAGTGCTGTTAGTGTAACACCAGGGGCCGTATGTGTCTCTGTCTGGGTTCCTACAGAAACTCCCCTCCAGTCTCACAGTCAGCACCGCCGCATCTCTGTCACTGCTAAACACACGCAAAGAAGAAGCGTAGAGTTTATAAAACTGTGTAACAGATACTGTCAGCCAAGCATACAGAGCACATCACAGGTGTGTATGGTCTCTTGCTCTCTTTTTTTCTCTCTATCCCTCACACACACCTACACACCTAAACTGACACAGGGAAATTATCGTAATGTTTGGAACGCCACCAACAGAATTCTTTCCCAGACATTCCTGGATAATAAGAAGAGGAGAATTCAGTTGAGGACCAATCACTGATGCACAGTTAGTGTGTTTGTGTGTGTGTGTGTGTGTGTGTGTGTGAGTATGTGTGAGTATGTGTGAGTGTGAGAGAGTGATGATCCCTTTGAGTCTCTCTAACATAAACAATAAACCGCTGATCCCTGACTAGGGTTGAATACCGGGAAATGGGTTACCAATATTTCCTGCCCAAACCCACTCCCTTTTCCTGTGATAAATAACTGCGAGAAACAGGACAATGACCCAACACACCTCCAGGCTGTGTAAGGGCTATTTTACCAAGAAGGAGAGTTATGGAGTGCTGCATCAGATGACCTGGCCTCCACAATCCCCAACAACCAAAGTTAGATGTTTTGGGATGAGTCGGACCGCAGAGTGAAGGAAAGCAGCCAACAAGTGCTCAGCATATGTGGGAACTCCTTCAAGACTGTCGGAAAAGCATTCCAGGTGAAGCTGGTTGAGAGAGTGCCAAGAGTGTGCAAAGCTGTCATCAAGGCAAAGGGTGGCTATTTGAAGAATCTCAAATATGAAATATTCTTTATTTGTTCAACACTTTTTTGGTTACTACATGATTTCATATGTGTTATTTCGTAGTTTCGATGTCTTCACTATTATTCTACAATGTAGAAAATAGTAAAAATAAAGAAAAACCCTTGAATGAGTAAGTCTTCTAAAACCTTTGACTGGTAGTGTATAGTGTATATACAGTTGAAGTCGGAAGTTTACATACACCTTAGCCAAATACATTTAAACTCAGTTTTTCACAATTCCTGACATTTAATCCTAGTAATAATAACCTGTCTTAGGTCAGTTAGGATCACCACTTTATTTTAAGAATGTGAAATGTCAGAATAATAGTAGAGAGAATGATTTATTTAAGCTTTTATTTCTTTCATCACATTCCCAGTGGGTCAGAAGTTTACATACACTCAATTAGTATTTGGTAGCATTGCCCTTAAATTGTTGAAATTGGGACAAACGTTTTGGGTAGCCTTCCACAATATTCCCACAAAAAGTTGGGTGAATTTTGGCCCATTCCTCCTGACAGAGCTGGTGTAACTGAGTCAGGTTTGTAGGCCTCCTTGCTCGCACACGCTTTTTCAGTTCTGCCCACAAATGTCCTATAGGATTGAGGTCAGGGCTTTGTGATGGCCACTCCAATACCTTGACTTTGTTGTCCTTAAGCCATTTTGCCACAACTTTCGAAGTATGCTTGGGGTCATTGTCCATTTGGAAAATCCATTTGCGACCAAGCTTTAACTTCCTGACTGATGTCTTGAGATGTTGCTTCAATATATCCACCTAATTTTCCTTCCTCATGATGCCATCTATTTTGTGAAGTGCACCAGTCCCTCCTGCAGCAAAGCACCCCCACAGCATGATGCTGCCACCCCCGTGCTTCATGGTTGGGATGGTGTTCTTCGGCTTGCAAGCGTTCCCCTTTTTCCTTCAAACATAACGATGGTCAGTATGTCCAAACAGTTCTATTTTTGTTTCATCAGACCAGAGGACATTTCTCTAAAAAGTACCCATGTGCAGTTGCAAACTGTAGTCTGGCTTTTATATGGCGGTTTTGGAGCAGTGGCTTCTTCCTTGCTGAGCGCCCTTTCAGGTTATGTCGATATAGGACTCGTTTTAGTGTGGATATAGATACTTTTGTACCTTTCCTCCAGCATCTTCATAAGGTCCTTTGATATAGTTCTGGGATTGATTTGCACTTTTCACACCAAAGTACGTTCATCTCTAGGAGACAGAACGCGTCTCCTTCCTGAGCGGTATGACGGCTGTGTGGTCCCATGGTGTTTATACTTGCATACTGTTGTTTGTACAGATGAACGTGGTACCTTCAGGCATTTTGAAATTGCTCCCAAGGATGAACCAGACTTGTGGAGGTCTTGGCTGATTTCTTTTGATTTTCCCATGATGTCAAGCAAAGAGTCACTGAGTTTGAAGGTAGACCTTGAAATACATCCACAGGTACACCTCCAACTGACTCAAATGATGTCAATTACCCTATCAGAAGCTTCTTAAGCCATGACATCATTTTCTGGAATTTTCCAAGCTGTTTAAAGGCACATTCAACTTAGTGTATGTAAACTTCTGACCCACTGGAATTGTGATACAGTGAATTGTAAGTGAAATAATCTGTCTGTAAACAATTGTTGGAAAAATTACTTGTGTCATGCACAAAGTAGATGTCCTAACCGACTTACCAAAACTATAGTTTGTAAACAAGAAATGTGTGGAGTGGTTGAAAAACAAGTTTTAGTGACTCCAACCTAAGTGTATGTAAACTTCCGACTTCAATTTTATATATGTATGTATATATATATATATATATATATATATATTTATATATATATATATATATATATATATATATATATATATTTATATATATATATATATATATATATATATATATATATATATATATAGAGAGAGAGACAGAGACAGACAGACAGACACAGACAGACAGACAGACAGACAGACAGACAGACAGACAGACAGACAGACAGACAGACAGACAGACAGACAGACAGACAGACAGACAGACAGACAGACAGACAGACAGACAGACAGACAGACAGACAGAAAGTGGTAGAGAGCGAGCGGTAGAGATGTCCTACCCTACCTCTTTTAGGTAATAAATTAAATGTATATGTAGGTAACGAATGATGGGTTATGCATCAGATTCTAAGGAGGTAGACTAATATGCACGTCACACAACATTAGGGGAAATATTATTAAAGTATTTGATCCCCTGCTGATTTTTGTACGTTTGCCCACTGACAAAGACATGATCAGTCTATAATTTTAATGGTAGGTTTATTTGAACAGTGAGAGACAGAATAACAACAAAAAAATCCAGAAAAACACATGTCAAAAATTTTATAAATTGATTTGCATTTTAATGAGGGAAATAATTATTTTCTCCTCTGCAAAACATGACTTAGTACTTGGTGGCAAAAGCCTTGTCGGCAATCCCAGAGGTCAGACGTTTCTTATAGTTGGCCACCAGGTTTGCACACATCTCAGGAGGGATTTTGTCCCACTCCTCTTTGCAGATCTTCTCCAAGTCATTAAGGTTTCGAGGCTGACGTTTGGCAACTCGAACCTTCAGCTCCCTCCACAGATTTTCTATGGGATTAAGGTCTGAAGACTGGCTAGGCCACTCCAGGACCTTAATGTGCTTCTTCTTGAGCCACTCCTTTGTTGCCTTGGCCGTGTGTTTTGGGTCATTGTCATGCTGGAATACCCATCCACGACCCATTTTCAATGCCCTGGCTGAGGGAAGGAGGTTCTCACCCAAGATTTGACAGTACATGGCCCCGTCCATTGTCCCTTTGATGCGGTGAAGTTGTCCTTTCCCCTTAGCAGAAAAACACCCCCAAAGCATAATGTTTCCACCTCCATGTTTGACGGTGGGGATGGTGTTCTTGGGGTCATAGGCAGCCTTCCTCCTCCTCCAAACACGGCGAGTTGAGTTGATGCCAAAGAGCTCGATTTTGGTCTCATCTGACCACAACATATTCACCCAGTTCTCCTCTGAATCATTCAGATGTTCATTGGCAAACTTCAGACGGCCCTGTATATGTGCTTTCTTGAGCAGGGGGACCTTGCGGGCGCTGCAGGATTTCAGTCCTTCACGGCGTAGTGTGTTATCAATTGTTTTCTTGGTGACTATGGTCCCAGCTGCCTTGAGATCATTGATAAGATCCTCCTGTGTAGTTCTGGGCTGATTCCTCACCGTTCTCATGATCATTGCAACTCCACGAGGTGAGATCTTGCATGGAGCCCCAGGCCGAGGGAGATTGACAGTTCTTTTGTGTTTCTTCCATTTGCGAATAATCGCACCAACTGTTGTCACAGGTGTCTTTTATACATGTAACAATCTGAGATTAGGAGCACTCCCTTTAAGAGTGTGCTCCTAATCTCAGCTCGTTACCTGTATAAAAGACACCTGGGAGCCAGAAATCTTTCTGATTGAGAGGGGGTCAAATACTTATTTCCCTCATTCAAATGTAAATCAATTTATAAAAATTTTGACATGCGTTTTGCTGGATTTTTTGGTTGTTATTCTGTCTCGCACTGTTCAAATAAACCTAATATTAAAATGATAGACTGATCATTTCTTTGTCAGTGGGCAAATGTACAAAATCAGCAGGGGATCAAATACTTTTTTCCCTCACTGTAATTGTAATTTTGTAGTACACATATCCTGCATCAGCATTGCATGTTCTCTCCCAGCTTCATCGAAAGAGGTGTGTAATTCCAGTCATATAATTCAGTATAATACAGTACAGTAATTAAATTCACACTCAAAATTATTAGCCTAATGGAGCTGAAATTTATTTACAAAAGAGAGCGTAGCTACATCTATAGGCTTTTATGTTTTTCTGTCATGCATAATGTGCAGTATCATATAAAGTATATTATATATGCTGTCTTGGATAACTGCACAATAATGTACGCTTTTTTGGTCTTGGGCTCATAAAATGTATTTAATGGTATGGCTCATCAGGCTCAGGTAGCATCAGGCTTGAATTTTAATGCCGATCAAAGCTCTAATCAAATCGAGACCTATTTACATGCTTTAGAATGACACTTCCGGTTTTGACGGGAATTACTGGGTTACCTGGGAGAAAAGTGATTTATTCTCGGGATGAAAGATTTGTAAAATACCAGGAAAATATTAAACCCTATCCCTGACGTCTGACATTTAACCCCTGGGTGGGAGCCAAGCAGAGGAGCTGTTTGGCTTTGAAGTGTGAAGTGTTCCAAAAAAGGAGGAGGCTCAGGGTCAGAGGTGAGGCCTGAAGTGTGTCCCCCAGATGCTTAATCACACACACACACACACACACACACACACACCTTGTGGGGACACTCAATTCAGTCCCATTCAAAATCCTATTTTCCCTAACCCCTAACCCTGAACCTAACCCTTAACCTTACCCTAAACCTAACCTTAACCCCAAAACCTAACCTTAACCCTAAACCTAACCCTAGCTCCTAACCCTAATCCTAAAACTAACCCTAGCTCCTAGCTCCTAACCCTAAACCGTATTCTAACCCTAACACTAATTCTAACCTTAACCCTAAAAAAAAACTAGAAATAGCATTTTACCTTGTGGGGACTAACAAAATGTCCCCAGTTGGTCAAATGTTTATTTGTTTACTATTCTGGTCCCCACAAGTATAGTTAAACACGTCCACACACACACACACACACCCTCACATACACACACACACACACACACACACACACACACACACACACACACACACAAACACACACACGTTTTCCCTAACTCCTAACCCTAAACCTAACCCCTAACCTTAATTCTAACTCTAATTGTAACCCTAACCCTAAACCTAACCACTAAGCTTAAAATAGCCTTTGTCCTTATGGGGACATGGGAAATGTCCCAACAAGGGGGTCAACTACAGGTTAAAGATGCACTCTCTGACTTTCGTATAATTTCAGCCAGTAGTTTTGAAAGTGGCGCTCACGAGCCAAAAGTGGTCTCTTTTTTGTGAACTACGTCATCAAATTGTGTACTACACCATCCATTTCATATGATATGTCAGATCATCCAAAAAAAACGTGTTTTTGGAACACCTCATGCGTTTACATGTGAAATTCATGTGATTTTTCCTTAAAGGTAGGGCACTCCCTCTGGCATCCACCCACACACACACAGGCACACATGCAGATGTGTAGTGTGTGGATGTGTTACCTGCTGCTGTAGTCACTCCAGAGGGAACAAGGAAGACCTGACCTGGTCCTGGAAACCTCTCCTCTGTAGCTCTCTCCACTACCCTTGTAGCAGTCTGGAACAAACACACACACAGTATGAGACCAAGCTAATGAAAGTCAGAATGCTACAGACCAAACCAACCCCAGGGGAATATATTAGCAAAACTTTACTGATCTCTGTTGTCCTGACTGGTAGACCACAACATGACCACAAAACTGTCCCAGCCCCAAAGTTCTCATCTGAGTGTGAGAAAAACACAACCCTACATAATCTGAATCCTACAAAATCCCTCAGAGCTGCTCCCTTTTTATACTATTAAATGGGACATACAGTAGCTTCCTTCTCCTCTCTATCCAATGGTTCATAGCTTCCTACTCTGCTCTATCCAATGGTTCATAGCTTCCTTCTACTCTCTATCCAATGGGACAGAGCCTCCTCTCCTCACTGTCCAATATGAAAGAGCGATGTTGTAATGCTGTCAGAGCTAGTTTATATATGTGCAGTGGGCTGTCATTCCCAGAGTCCTACAGATGTGGGATCTTAATTTGACCTATATTGTTACAGCAAAATAATGCACAGGTAAAAGTAGCCAATTGTCATACTTGTGTAAAAGTAAAGATACCTTAATAGAAAGTTACTCAAGTAAAAGTGAGTCACCCAGTAAAATACTACTTGAGTAAAAGTCTAAAAGTATTTGGTTTAAATATACTTAAGTATCAAAAGTAAATGTAATTGCTAAAATATACTGAAGTATCAAAAGTAAAAGTATGAATAATTTTCTATTCCTCATATTAAGCAATCCAGACAGCAACATTTTTGTGTTTTTTAAATTTACGGATAGCCAGGGGCACACTCCAACATAATTTACAAACGAAACATTTGCATTTAGTGAGTCCGCCAGATTAGAGGCAATATGACCAGGGATGTTCTCTTGATAACTGTGTGAATTGGACCATTTTCCTGTCCTGCTAAGCATTCAAAATGTGACGACTACTTTTGGGTGTCAGGGAAATGTATGGAGTAAAAAGTACATTATTTTGTTTAGGAATGTAGTGGAGTAAAAGTAAAAGTTGTCAAAAATATAAATAGTAAAGTAAAATATGACTTAGTACTTTAAAGTATTTTCACTTCAGTACTTTACACCACTGATAATGCAGTAACAGGATGCATGATCGGGTGGTTAGGCTATTAGCTGGCCAAAAGTAGTCTACATGAAAAGTAGAATACTGTTAAAACAACCGTGTGTTAATGTGGGTTTTCAGTGAATTTATGTAAATCATGAAGCTCATCTGCATTTCCTGCGGTGCAGGAAAATTTTCAGCAACAAAACAATGACCAAATTAAGGGACACATTAGGGACACAACTGAACAACTGCCAAGCACATGAACATTTCTTCATCAGGAATCAATTTATTTTGCTATTCTGCAGGGTCAAAATAAAAATTATTTGGAGCCTAAGGCCTATTCACCTAGTTTTACCAAAAGCTGTACATTTTAACAATGGCGGTTCATTGAACTATGATTGTCTGAGACCTGAAGACTTGTATTATCTCCTTGATCAATGCTACAATAGGCTCTCACCTTGAGGTTCAGTGTTCTGTATGCCACAGCGGGGGATGTTAGTGCAGAACGCTGTGCGAACATTAGGGTCTGAAGTGAAGCACCATGGGAGGTCACGTCCATCAGGGTTCCTGCAGTAGTTCTCCCTCAGGTCTCTGAAACACACACACATGCACACACACACACACACACACACACACACACACACACACACACACACACACACACACACACACACACACACACACACACACACACACACACACACACACACACACACACACACACACACACACACACACACACACACACACACACACACAATAAAGATATATTCACAAACATAATGTGTGTAGAGTTGTCAATGTGTGTCCATACAAGTGTGGTTCACTCACTTGCAGTGGTAGTCCTGGGGAATGTATGAGTGGTTGTGGGGGTACTGTGAGTCCCAGCGTTGACAGATCACCCCACTGGGTGTTACTGCTACTGACCCTCTGTAGCCCTCACCTCGACCCCAGAAACACCTAGTAGTTACATCCACCTCCACCACACTGTCTGTGGCTGAGAGAGGGAGAGAGAGAAAGAGACAGAGAAGGAGGCACTTTGGTAAACATAGCCATATCATCTATACCCTCTGTTATGCTGAACGTTTCTCCTTGAGGCAACAGTGCCACTCAGAGACTGTAACAAGGACAAGGCTGACTTGGACTTAACTGCTCCATTTTCTATACAATACATTGTACTCATTTAGCTGATGAAGTATGTTGCAATAACAAAGAAACAATGCTGACTCATTTTTCCCAGAAATATACGGTAGGTAGCCTATTAACTCTCCAGAATCTAAACAGACAGTTTTCTGTGGATCTGACTAAAAATAGACTGCTACTAGCGAGGATAATAAAGACAGGTACAGGGAAGAGAATAGGCCAAAACAATAAAACTTTGTTTCTATGTCTGTCTTTCTGCCTTGGTTTCAATAACACCACGTTTAAGGGTTAGACCATAAAACTGGACTGGGTTGACTTCCAAGGCCTGTATCAGATACAACACAGAGACAAAGAAAGAGAGAGTCCAACTGAAAAGATGCCATTTTGTAAAGTTCCAGTTCCAGAGCTCCTTATGACTCTAACAGAGCAGAGAAGAGCCAGACAGAGAAAAACAAACACACTTGCAGCTTTTAAGTGCTGTTCTCTGTCAACCTTCTATAGACTCTCTTCACTTCAGCCCACAACAAGCAGAAATATGATGAATATAGAGATGTATTTCTCTCTCTTCCTCTATCGCATAAACATTCACACACACACCCCTCATCTTGTATGTAACTGGAGCATAATGTGTGTGACCTCTGTGTGTCTGACATGAGGTTTATATAGCAGAGTAACTGAACTTTCTAAAGTGTGTGTGCATACACATGTGTGTTTGTGCAAGCATGTGGGTGTGTCTTTGTGTACACACACACACACACACGCACACATGCACACACACATACACATACACACTCACAGCAGGCTGTGATGTTGCAGTACTCCCAGGGTGTGTGTGCGTCCATGGTGAAACACCACGGTCGTTGACGTCCATCTGGGTTCCTACAGTAGTTATCAACCAGGCCTTTATCAGGATACCTACAGAACAACACACATAGGGAAGAGTAGGATTTCAACAAGTCATTGGGACAGATGGAGATACACATGAGCAGTGAGCAGAGCGGGTATGCCGGTATGTTTGTGTGTGTGTGTGTGCACATATGTTTTGTTGTGTTACAGACTGAATTCAAAATGGATTAAATATACAGTTGAAGTCGGAAGTTTACATACACTTATGTTGGAGTCATTAAAACTTGTTTTTCAACCACTCCACACATTTCTTGTTAACAAACTATAGTTTTGGCAAGTCGGTTAGGACATCTACTTTGTGCATGTCACAAGTAATCTTTCCAACAATTGTTTACAGACAGTTTATTTCACTTATAATTCACTGTATCACAATTCCAGTGGGTCAGAAGTTCACATACACTAAGTTGACTGTGCCTTTAAACAGCTTGGAAAATTCCAGGAAATGATGTCATGGCTTTAGAAGCTTCTGATAGGGTAATTGACATCATTTGAGTCAGTTGGAGGTGTACCTGTGGATGTATTTCAAGGTCTACCTTCAAACTCAGTGACTCTTTGCTTGACATCATGGGAAAATCAAAAGAAATCAGCCAAGACCTCCACAAGTCTGGTTCATCCTTGGGAGCAATTTCCAAATGCCTGAAGGTACCACGTTCATCTGTACAGACAATAGTACGCAAGTATAAACACCATGGGACCATGCAGCCGTCATACCACTCAGGAAGGAGACGCGTTCTGTCTCCTAGAGATGAACGTACTTTGGTGCGAAAAGTGCAAATCAATCCCAGAACAACAGCAAAGGACCTTGTGAAGATGCTGGAGGAAACAGGTACAAAAGTATCTAAATCCGCAGTAAAACAAGTCCTATATCGACATAACCTGAAAGGCCGCTCAGCAAGGAAGAAGCCACTGCTTCATAACCGCCATAAAAAAGCCAGACAACGGTTTGCAACACATGGGGACAAAGATCGTACTTTTTCGAGAAATGTCCTCTGGTCTGATGAAACAAAAATAGAACTGTTTGGCCATAATGACCATCGTTATGTTTGGAGGAAAAAGGGGGCCGCTTGCACGCCGAAGAACACCATCCCAACCGTGAAGCACGGGGCTGGCAGCATCATGCTGTGGGGGTGCTTTGCTGCAGGAGGGACTGGTGCACTTCACAAAATAGATGGCATCATGAGAAAGGACAATTTTGTGAATATACTGTAGCAACATCTCAAGACATCAGTCAGGAAGTTAAAGCTTGGTCGCAAATGGATCTTCCAAATGGACAATGACCCCAAGCATACTTCCAAAGTTGTGGCAAAATGGCTTAAGGACAACACATTTAAGGTATTGGACTGGCCATCCCAAAGCCCTGACCTCAATCCTATAAAAAATGTGTGGGCAGAACTGAAAAAGCATGTGCGAGCAAGGAGGCCTACAAACCTGACTTAGTTACGACACCTCTGTCAGGAGGAATGGGCCAAAATTCACCCAACTTATTGTGGGAAGCTTGTGGAAGGCTACCTGAAACGTTTGACCCAAGTTAAACAATTTAAAGGCAATGTTACCATATACTAATTGAGTGTATGTAAACTTCTGACCCACTGGGAATGTGATGAAATAAATAAAAGCTGAAATCAATCATTCTCTCTACTATTATTCTGACATTTCACATTCTTAAAATAAAGTGGTTATCCTAACTGACCTAAGACAAGGAATTTTTACTAGGATTAAGTTTAAATTATGTAAACTTCCGACTTCAACTGTATATTTTTCTCAACCATCTACACAGTACCCCATAATGACAAATTGAAAACATGTTTTTAGACATTTTTGGAAATTTATTGAAAATGAAATATCTCATTTACATTTTAGTCATTTAGCAGACGCTCTTATCCAGAGCGATTTACAGTTAGTGAGTGCATACATTTTTTTTTTTTTTTTTTTTCATACTGGCCCCCCATGGATATCGAACCCACAACCCTGGCGTTGCAAACGCCATGCTCTACCAACTGAGCTACATCCCTGCCGGCCATTCCCTCCCCTACCCTGGACAACGCTGGGCCAATTGTGTGCCGCCCCATGGGTCTCCTGGTCGCGGCCGGCTACGACAGAGCCTGGATTCGAACCAGGATCTCTAGTGGCACAGCTAGCACTGCGATGCAGTGCGCCACTCGGGAGGTCACATTTACACCCCTGAGTCAATAGTTTGTAGAAGCAACTTTGGCAGCGATTACATCTGTGAGTTCTTCTTGGTAAGTCTCTAACATGCTGACCACACCGCCCGCATTGTTTGCGCAAGCATTGCAAAATAAATGTACACATACATGTTATTCAATAATTGTATCCAAACTGTTCGCACGCGTCAACGATGGTCTGAGTAGCCAGGCGCTAAAATAGAACTTGGTTCTATTTTTGAACATTGTTCTATTTTTGACAGTTGACACATTGCAAGTCCCACCTCTCCCATCTCCTCATTGGTTTTTAGGAGCATATACCCATGTGGGTGATTGAAAGATGAACTGAGGTCCACACTCCAGTCCAGTTGGTGGTGGTAATGCACCTTAAAGTTGGATTCCAATTACCATATAAAGTCCACAGAGAAGAAGAAGAAGAAGAAGAAGACTGAAGTTGGAAAGATTACTAGAAACTAACTAGGTTTCTCCTTTTATCTGTGGATTAATTGTCATATTAGAGAATACATGATTTTGTATGACTCAAAATGGGTCAAAATTCTACAAAGATCCAGAAAAAAAGGACCTTGTGCATTTCAGTTAAAATAACAACCCAATGTTTATGTCCCAGAACAAATTAGCTAGCAACAGCAAGCTAGCTAGCTAAATGTCCAATTATGTTTTATGTGTTTTCTATCACAGCCATTAAACTCTAGAACTGTTTTAAAGTCACCATTGGCCTCATGGTGAAATCCCTGAGCGGTTTCCTTCCTCTCCAGCAATTGAGTTGTAGTGACTGGGTGTATTGATACACCATCCGAAGTGTAATTAATAACTTCACCATGCTCAAAGGCATATTCAATGTTTTTTTTTTTTTTGTGGTCTTTGAAATTCACTGCTTGACTGAGGGACCTTATAGATCATTGTATGTGTGGTGTACAGAGATGAGGTAGTCATAAAAAAAAAATTGTTAGACACTATTGCACACAGAGTGAGTCCATGCAACTTATTATGTTACTTGTTAAGCACATTTTTTCTCCTGAATGTATTTAGGCTTATCATAACAAAGGGGTTGAATACTTATGGACTCAAGACATTTCATTTTTTCATTTTTTATGAATTAGTAAAAAAAGTATTGTGTACGTAGGCCAGTGACCAAACATCTACATTTAAACCATTTTAAATGTGAGCTGTAACACAACAACATGTGGAAAAAGCAATGAGGGGGAGGTGAATACTTTCTGAAAGCACTGTAAGTGTGTGTGTACACTGAGTGTACAAAACATTCAGGAAACATGCTCTTTCCATGACATAGACTGACCAAGTGAATCCAGGTGAAAGCTATGATCCCTTATTGATGTCACTTGTTAAATCCACTTCAATCAGTGTAGATGAAGAGGAGGAGACTGGTTAAAAAATGATTTTCAAGCCTTGAGACAATTGAGACATGGATTGTGTATGTGTGCCATTCAGAGGGTGAATGGGCAAGACAAAATATTTAAATGCCTTTGAACGGGGTATGGTTGTAGATGCCAGGTGCACCGGTTTGTTTCAAGAACTGCAATGCTGCTGGGTTTTTCACGCTCAACAGTTTCCTGTGTGTATCAAGATTGGTCCACCACCGAAAGGACATCCAGCCAATTTGACACATCTGTGGAACGCTTTTTACACTTTGTAGAGTCCATGCCCCTACGAATTGAGGCTGTTCTGAGGGCAAAAGGGGGGAGTTGCAACTCAATATTAGTAAGGTGTGTGTGTGCATGCATGTGTGATTATCTATAAGTGTGTGTGTGTTGGCCACAGGACCTCTACGGGCAGAGCAGACTGCTCCACTGCACACTGTAAAAGGTAACTGCCTAACTCATTAAAGAAATTGAAAATATAAAAATATTTCAGGGGTTTGAAAAGGAACAGAAAGGAACAATAGAAACTTTTGTTTTACTTTTTTTGGATTCGAACCGGTTCAGAACTTTATTTTGCTGGTCGGAACAGTGGAACAGAATGTAAAAGTAATGGTTCTGCTCAGAATGAAACAAATGGAAAGAAATTAACAAATATTAAGTTATTGAGTAAATATAAATGTATTTATTTGTGTTCTGCTAATCTAAAGTTAATTTAACATTTATTAAATAAATTGTTCTTACTTGATTCTATTATTTTTTATGTCTTTACTTAAAATAATAAAGTATTTGTCAGACACATTGATATTTGGGTAAAAAACACTTGATTTATATGTGTTGTGCGGATATATAATTATAAAAATTTTGCAAGTTATGAATACTTAATAGTGTCTTGTGGCTCTGTTTTGAGAAGATTGTGGGTAATTCAATATTTTTTGACTTTATGATACTTTTACACAATGTTGTATGCATGTTTGAAGAAAGAAAAGTTGATTTATAAAATATTATTAAACAGTTTGTTGTGTACTTAGGGGGTAATTGATTATGATGAACGGATATCAAAACCATTGGGCAAATTTACATTCAATAATAAGACAAGCCATTCCCACCATCAACAAGGTCATATGAACCACTCTTAATGACAGGGGCTAATGCAGCATCATGTCATGCTTACAGCTCTTCTTCCAGTTACTGCTAGAGGAATGAGCACTGTCCTAAACAATTCCTGCTAAGGTGGGTTAAAATGACAAATCATCAATTACATTAAACGTTAAACATTAAGACACAATCACTGAAAATTACTAATCAGAACTACTTACTACTTACACTTGAAAATGTTTTTGTAATGATAGTTAATCATTTACGTAGAAGGGATCCTACAATTGTATCTTGTTCAAGCAACTTCAATCTTTATAGTTCAGAATACAGTTTGTATTTACAAATTAAAAAGATAACCATATGGTTACTAAGTGTTGAACACTGAAATACTTTGAGTTGGGTTACTCAAATGTCTCTAGGCAACAGGTTTCCACCCAAAAATGTAGTTATAGTGCAGGTGATCTCATTCCTCCTGGTGATAGTTTTAATACTCACCACTGCATCCTGTATCAAGAGGTTAGCTGGTCCTCATTAAAGTCCCATAGATCAATTAATTACTCCCTTTTTGTTTACAAAGCCCTACTACACAAGCTTCCAACTTACCTAACTGCTTTGCTAACGTATAAAATAATGAGATAACAAACCCTTCACAGGGTTGGTTAGCTTTTCAGATTCCTCGAGTCTCCACGGAATTAGATAAATCCGTTTTTAGTTTTCACGCTCCACATTTTTGGAATCACTTATACAATTAATTACATTTGTATTCCCTGGTGCCACTAGGGCATTTTAAAACCCTGATGATAAATGAGTTCACCGAGGTGTGCAATTATTTTTATTGAATGATTGAATAACTTGTTTATGATGGCTGTGATGTTGGTGATGACTACCAGCCCTCCAGGACAGCTACAGCACCCGATGTCACAGGAAGGCCAAAAAGACCATCAAGGACAACAACCACCCGAGCCACTGCCTGTTCACATACCGCTATCATCAAGAAGGCGAGATCAGTACAGGTGCATCAAAGATGGGACAGAGAGACTGAAAAACAGCTTCTATCTCAAGGCCATCAGACTGTTAAACAGCTTTCACTAGCACATTAGAGGCTGCTGCCTATATACACAGATTAGAAATCACTGGCCACTTTAATAAATGGAACACTAGTCACTTTAATAATGTTTACATATCTTGCATTACTCATCTCATATGTATATCCTGTACATTTTTACATTTTAGTCATTTAGCAGACGCTCTTATCCAGAGTGACTTACATTTAGTGAGCGCATACATTTTCATACTGGTCCCCCGTGGGAATCGAACCCACAAGTGCCATGCTCTACCAACTGAGCTACATGGGACTGTATTCTATACTGTTCTACTGTATCTTAGTCTATGCCGCTCTGACATTGCTCATTTATTTATTTATTCTAAATTCCAATGCTTTACTTAGATGTGTGTATTGGGTATATGTTGTGAAAATGTTAGATATTACTGCACTGTCGGAGCTAGAAACACAAGCATTTCGCTACACCCGCAATAACATCTGCCAAACACGTGTATGTGACCAATAAAATTGTATTTTATTTTATTTAATGTAATGTACTTGTTCTATTACTTTATGGTCTCAGGGCACCATTGAAAATTAGACTCTGGTCTCAACTGGGCTCCCCTGATTAAAGATTAATAAGAATAAGAATAATAAAAATATACAATACTAACAGCGATTCAGAGGTGCTGTCTTAATCACAGAGGTGAAGGGTGTGTGTGTTTGTGTGTCCTGCCCCAGCAGCAGGTGGTGTGGATTAGTGATAGACTCATTAACACATCTTTAATCATCCCTTTGTTTCTGTAATGAAGAGGCCCCAGAGCCTCATACTGAGAGAAAGTGAGTGTGTGTATGTTTGTGTTTTTGTGTGCGTGTGTGTGCATATGTGTGTGTTACCTCTTGGGGTTGAAGAGGTGTTTGTGTGGTTCCTCCAGGTCCCAGCGCTGACACTCCCATCCTGTCTCTGTGTGATCCATGGGACCTCTGTAGCTCTCCCCGTTACAGCTCACACACTCCACTGGACACACACACGGGTGATATTTTAATCTTCTCACATGACACAGACATTATTTTTGCATATACTGTACTTCATAAACAACATGAGGTGGTATACCACAATTGTTTCTGGATAATTGTCCTGTCTATCTATTTAGAATATAATGTAAAATGGCTCCTTTTAAGTCAAATGAGTCAACAATCACTGTGTGTGTGCGTGTGCATGTGTGTGTAGTGTTTGTCATTACTGGAAACTTATTTTCAAATCAACCTATCCAGTCATTTGACCTTTGGACCAGAACACACACTCTCTCTGGACAGACCCACTACATTTCCTCAGACTCTGAAAACAACCCTGTAGATCCTCCCTCACACACACACATCCCTGATAGTCTTGTGTATTCTCATACACACCTAATCACATCACTGTCAGCTGTTTATTAACTATAAATATATTTTTAAGTATCCACAGAGGATAATTTATCCTGTGACAGTTTGTGTCATCCAGTTGTAGATACCACAGCAGGCTATGGTCCAGTGCAACAGGGAGAAGGGAGAGCTCATATCTGACAGTGCCGTTAAATGGTTTACTGTAAAAGGAAATGGACATGTGTGTATGTGTCCTACCCTGTGAGCATTGAGGTACTCCACAGTCCTGGTGTCTGACATTGTGGTCTGTAGTGAAGCACCATGGTCCTGAGGTAGCGTTGTCAGGGTTACGACAGTAGTTCTCTCTCAGGTCCTTCTTCCTGTTCCTCCTCGGTAGGAAACTGGAGAGAGAGAAGGACTTCAGTTAGTGTTAATCAATATCTCCCAAAATCAGGACAATTTTCAATTTCTATCTGGTGCAGAAAGTTGAGAGGTAGAAGAGAAATCTCCATTGTGTAGTGTAGATCAGGCCTGCTCCATGTGTTGTGAAACGTGGTAGTTAAACAAAACTGTGAGTCATACACATCTACGTACTGACTGAGGTCGTCACTAGATTGTGGTTTTGTTTGCTGAGTCACATGATAATTTGGTTTATATGGGTCACAGCTGAAACAGTTTGGAAGGCACAGAGTTAGGCAACACAATGCAACATATCGTAACGGTGTGATAGAGGTGTGTGTGTTTGCCCCAGTGTGAGCTCACTGGAGAGGAGAAGAGAGGAGAGAGGAGAAAGGAGAAGAGGAGAAGAGGAAAAAAGATGAGAAGGGGGAGGTAGGAGGAGAACAAGAGAGGAGGATGGGAGGAAGAGGAAGGATGAGGAAGGGGGGAGGTTGTTGTTATGGTTGGTTGTCCTCTGGTTGTGTTGTTCTAATGAACTTCTGGCACAAGACGTCTCTGTTATCGCTCTCTCTCTCTCTCTCTCTTTCTCTCTCTCTCGCTGTCCTCTCCTCCCTGTCCCTCTCACTCTCTCTCTCTCTCTCTGTTCCTGTAACAAGGCTGCTTATCATCATCCTCTGCTACTATGTCTGTATCAGGGCTGCTGTTTGTCACAGGTTGTATACTTTATCACTTAATTAATTAGGTTTTACTACAGTATAAACTCTCTCTCTCTCTCTCTCTCTCTCTCTCTCTCACACACACACACACACACACACACACACACACACACACACACACACAAACAGTGTGACTACAACAGGAAATGATCCCTGACTGTGTAAAGTGTTAGAGTGAGGTCAGAGAGGACTAGCACTGATGAATGACTAGTCCCTTAGGACTAATCAGCATCCAATGTATCACTATATATACACACACACAGGCACACATGCACACACGCACAAACACAGGCTCTAGCTTACTTGTGTTCATGAGGGATAGGAGAGGCCCAGGCCTGGCACTTTATTCCATTGGCTGTTACTGACCTCCTCCCTCTGTAGTTCACTCCTGTCCCCACTATGCACTCCTGCACATAGGCTAGAGCGAGAGAGAGAGAGAGAGAGAGAGTGTCAACAAAAGGAATGGAAAAACAGACTGTGAGTGTTTGCAAGAACAGAATCTGAAAAAATATGCTTTTCTGTTTTACTCATCTGACAGAGCATATTAAGACAAGTCTCACATCCACCATAATGTTAAATTTCACTGCACAAATACATGAGAATACTAACCCGGCTACCAAACTCTGATGATACAAACAGAAAGAGATGCAGTCCTGCTTTAGACACATAGTGTAAGCACTGCAGTGCCTTTCTACACACAGAGAGTGAGAAGAGAGAGAGAGAGAGTGAGAAGAGAGAGAGAGAGAGAGAGGAGAGAGAGAGAGAGAGAGAGAAGAGAGAGAGAGAGAGAGGGAGAGAGAGAGAGAGAGAGAGAGAGAGAGATGGTATACAGTACATTTCTTCTGGTAGAGTTGGTAGTTGAAGTCATGTTGGCTATGGACTCCTGGTGAGTTCCTGTCAAACGAAAGCCACTGGCATTTCCTGTTTTTCTGATCGTACAGGAATGCTCTAGAGAGAGAGAGAGAGAGAGGCAGGAAGGGAGGGAGATATTGATCGATTTACGTAATATAATAATTTAGCAGGCATGCTTATCCAGATCAACTTACAATTAACATGCAGACAGTAGTCTATCAACATGCTCTCACAGTCTCACTGCAGAATCTGACATTTGCCAATAAATGTCAAATTTTGGAGGCCAGACCTCCCGAGTGGCGCAGCGGTCTAAGGCACTGCAATGCTTGAGGCGTCACTACAGATCTGGGTTCGATCCCGGGCTGTGTCGCAGCCGGCTGCGACCGGGAGACCCATGAGGCGACGCACATTTGGCCCAGCATCGTCCGGGTTAGGGGAGGGTTTGGCCAGCCGGGATGTCCTTGTCCCATCGCACTCTAGTGACTCCTGTGGCGGGCCGGGCGCATGCACGCTGACACGGTCGCCAGTTGTACAGTGTTTCCTCCGACACATTGGTGCGGCTGGCTTCCGGGTTAAGCGAGCAGTGTGTCAAGAAGCAGTGTGGCTTGTCAGGGTCGTGTTTCGGGGGACGCATGGGAAAAGACCTTCGCCTCTCCCGAGTCCGTACGGGAGTTGCAGTGATGGGACAAGACTGTAACTACCAATTGGATACCATGAAAAAAGGGGTAAAAAATAAATTATACATCGAAGGCTAAGTTTAGGCATTGAATGGTAAGGGTTAAGTTTTGGGATAGGTTTAAAGCAAACAAATAAAAAATTAGTGCCTAGCACAGGGATTAAACACGCAAACCTCGGAGCCGGAACTCAGCCATCCCTGTCCAGAACACCCTAGCAAACTCCAAGCCTACTTCATGGTAATAGCGCTCACCGTTGCCTCTAGTGGCCAGTTTTGAAGTCATCTCTAAACGTCCTACTTACCTGGATGGATGTCGGATTTCGCAGTGGATCTTGAGCGACCTGGCTGAGACTATACAGTATGTGTCCTGAATTTAAATAGGATTGACCCAAAGCCTGCTACTGCTGAGAGGAGATGGCAGAGAGGACTCAGTTTGTCAGGGGAAACCTAGTCCTGCATACCAGACTCATGCTTGCTGCTGCTGAACGACACTAAGAGAAATCAGACATCTCATTAGAGAATGGGAGGGTATTAGACTATAGTAAGAGTGAGAGCAGCCATATTTACTGTGGAGAGTTTGGGCTGCTGCCAAGGAAGGCCAGGGGATGATGTCATAATGGCTTGGACAATAAATATATCTACCTACAGGTGAAAAACAATCCCCATAGAAGCCAAAACATAATAAGGAGATGGGATAGTTATAGAGACACAGCAGGTGAAGCTACAGGCACAGACACCCAGGAGATTGTCACAGATGCACCACACGTACCTGCAGGTGAAGGGTAGTCTCTTGTTGCGGCTGCAGCCCCGGGCACACTTCACTATGCTTAACTTCCTGCTTTTAGTCTGGAGGGTGGAGTCTGGCAGCTGGACCAATCGCACACTGTCGCTCCTCTGGTAGTCCTGCAATGCATTCCTCCTGCACTCTAACGCACACACACACACACACACAGCATGAAATGAAGGTGTTGAATGCAGTGTCCACACCCTGGCCAGTGAGGCTGTGTTGATGTTCTCATCAGGACTGAGACAAACCCAGCAGCATCATGATGTGTCAATTAGCCTGGTTCCACTGCCATTAATATCAATGGCTTAATGGGATGCATTCCTCTCTCTCTCTCTCTCTCTCTCTCTCTCTCTCTCTCTCTCTCTCTCTCTCTCTCTCTCTCTCTCTCTCTCTCTCTCTCTCTCTCTCCTCTCTCTCTCTCTCTCTCTCTCTCTCTCTCTCTCTCACACACACACACACATACACACACACACACACACACACACAGTTTGTCTCAATCCCCCTCCCTCTCCAGCAGGGATTGATTGACTAATTACGTTGTTTCACATCACCACACCATGCTGTGTTGACTCATACATAAATACATAAACAGCCCAGTAGCAGAAAGTCAGGCTATATGTCTGTTTCTTAGTACTCCGGTATTCTCCTCCTCAATAAAAGTAAAAGATAAAAAAGTGCGTAACTTAATATGAGGCATGATACGGATAAATACCTAGCCTACACAAATATTATCAATAGCCTATAACAAACGTTATATACTTTCCTTCTAAATAGTGAAAGCACTGGGACCAGAGAGTCCATGTCAGACTCGTCTAGAAGCTTTAGAATTAGTGATTATCGTGAGAGAAAACTGCAGATTTACATTGTCTATAGTTTCACCAGCACATCTATAGCTGAATGGAGATATGAGAGCGGGAGATGGTGCACGTGCTTCTACCTGAGAGGCTGCATCTCGCGCTACAGATCGTTAGATGCAGTTTTATATATATAAGAATAGGCGGGCAGCCAAGCACACAGGGTTCTCTTGGCTTTTCAAAAATAAAATAATGTTACGCAAGTTTGCTGTAGAATCATCACAAAGTCTATAGAGATGGGGTCCACAGTTTCTCTATTCCCCACAGAGAGCAGCGCAAAACGTTTTTGTTGTTTATGTTTACAGTTTAGTTTTGTAGGATGACACTTTTTAATCTAATCAAAACTCTTCTGCCCTGACATGTTCCCTTTGCAAGATCGAGAGATGATAGTCAGTTAGAATGGAAAACTTGCCGAGCTGACTGCAAGGTAACAGATTTTACACAGGTTATTGTGTTGTGTTATTTTGTTAAAAAAAAAAAAAACTCTACCATTCGACATTAGGCTCAGGGCCTACCTTCATAAAATAAGATTTTAATAAATAAAAAATGCAATGTAGGCTAAGCTAAGTTTTGGTGGGACCGGGCTGGAGAAAAGTTAAACAACTATGCTGAATCTCAATAACAAGCTGTAAGGCTGAATTCCTATTGTGACTGTCTCCTAAACTTACCAGAATAGTGGATGATTAAGAGCATAAAAATAATGTTGTAAATCCACATGGTTGCTTCAAAGGCTGTTCACGATATCCAAACTATTACTGGTATGATATCCCAATAATATTAAAGGTATTGCCGTCCGTTGATAAGGTCCAGACGACGGGACGAAGAGACTGGGGATTTTCACTCAGCTACAGCAGAGATGCCTCTGAGTAGAAACACACCGTGGACCTCTCTCTCTCTCTCTCTCTCTCTCTCTCTCTCTCTCTCTCAGCGCCAGCCATATTACACACTGGCAGCTCTCCTCCCACTTTACTCCTCTACCCCACTCACTCACTGTTGAACAATATGTTGGGTAGGTATATCTCAGTGGAAAATCAGTGGAAAAGTCCCAGTGATAACAGCATGATGCACATGAGCAAGAGTATCAGAGTTTATCTCAGCTTCTATAAACAGCTCTGTCTTCATAGATGACACACAGCATCCTCAACCAGGATGAACTACCTCATCTCCTCCATATCTCCTGGGACATGGGGATTCACCTCGCCTCCTTTATTATCGATCACACACACACACACACATACACACACACACACACACACACACACACACACACACACACACACACACACACACACACACACACACACACACACACACACACACACACACACATTATGCATCTTCATTTCTATCTCTCTCTTTTTATAGATGACTAATAGGAGGTTTTATGTTACTCAGAAAGAAACCACAGAGTCACTCTCCATGATAATATACAATCCCTGCCAATGAATCAGGGACTTTCACTCTCATAACCACACACACACACACACACCCTCGTACCCTCGTAACTAGGAGCAGATGTGTGCAGATCGCTCACATGCTTTGGGTTGAGTAAAACTCCATTAGTCCAATCTAATGATCTGATAAAGAAGCATATGTGTGTGTGCTTTCTGATATTAGACTGAGATTCGAGCTCTAGTAGCTCTCTGTTACATACCACTGGAACCATTTAAGACTGCACGCATTAGTTGTTCAGCCCCTTGGTTTGTTTTGCTTCTGTAAGATATGGCTATAAATGTGCACTTAACAGCTCCTCAACATGCACTCTGTAACCAACCAGTTCAACCTGCCACATTTAGGAGTTAATAAAGGTGCAGGCACATTCTATAATTTTTTTTTTTTTTACTATGCATTGTTGGACCTGTAAGTAAGTGTTTCACTGATAGTCTACACCTGTTGTTTACGAAGCATGTGACAAATAACATTTTATTTTATTCTTAAAAGGTTGGTTTGGAACTGGGCGGAGAGGGGGTGCAGGGTGCTAGGACAGAGGGGTCCATTTGATTTCCTCCAGATTTGCAGGCACCAGGGCAGTGTGTGTGTGTGTGTGTGTGTTTGTGTGTGTGTGCATGCGTAAGTGCATGCACATGCACGCAAAGGTCATGTTTTATCTGCTACAAATGATCTGGACCTCAAGCTGACCCTTACCCCTCCTCCCTTTCTTTCACTCACTTCCTTGCTCCCTCTTTTCTCTTCTCTCTCTTCAGACCTAGAGTGACCCACCAGGCCTGAGGAGAGAGGGAAGGAGGGCAGATGAGAAGTGAGGGAGCAAGAGAAGAGGGGAGTGAGATTGTGAGATTCTGGAGGATGAGGGGTTCGTCCTTAAACAAATGCAATGTGTGTGTGCGTGTGTGTGTGCGTGTGCGTGTGCGTGTGTGCAGAGGGTGTAATCACAGACACAGTGTCAGAGGATCCTCCTGTAAACAAACACACACATCCTGTTGTCAGACCTCTACTGCTAATTAAGACGTGCTGACCGGAACAGTTGACTCTATACACACACACACGGACAGGACAGTGGAGTCAGGGAAATCGAGACGGGGAGGGGTTTGCCTCTTCATCAATAACAACTGGTGTGCTGACTCGAGAGTCGTGGAAGTGTCGACCCATTGTTCACCCGCCTTGGAATACCTGATGGTCAAATGTCGACCCTTCTACCTCCCGAGGGAGTTTTCAGCAGTTATCATGAGTATTGTATACATTCCACCTCGGGACAAGAAAAATAACAAACTGGCACTTAATGAACTGTACGAGGCTATAAAAAAGCAGGAAAACGTACATCCCTCGCCACTAGGGGCGATAAAGACCACTGTTATTCCATATACAAACAAGCATGCAAGGCATTCTCTCGTCCACCATTTGGCAAATCAGATCATGTCTCTGTACTCCTGCTTCCTGTTTACAAGCAGAAGCTCAAACAGGAAGAACCTGTGACTCGCTGTCGAGAAATGGTCACCAGAATCAGAGATTATGCTACAGGACTGCTTTGCTATCGCTGATAGGAATATGTTTTGAGACTCCGCCGATAACATCGACGAGCTAACCACCTCCGTCACCGGCTTCATTAGGAAATGCATCAGCGATGTTGTCCTCATAGTGAAGGTTCGCTGCATCCCAAATCAAAAGCCCTGGATTAACACAGAGGTTGGTGTTAACCGAAAGGACAGGGGTACTGCACACAGGGCTATCACATGCAACCCTGAGGCTACAGCTGAGGACAGGAACAAGTACAAGAAGTCCCGCTATGACACCAGCAGAGTCATCAAACGAGCAAAAGGACAATATAGGAATAAGGTGGAATCATATTACACAGGCTCTGATGCCCGCATCATGTGGCAGGGGCTACAGTCCCTTACGGATTACAAAGGAAGACCCAGCCGTGATCTGCCCCACGATGCCTCCCAGGCATATTCACGGTAATTTTCAACCTCTTCTTGTCCCAGTCTGTAATCCCCACATGTTTTATTAAGATGACCCCCATCATTATTTTCCCCAAGAACTCTAAGGCTTCATGCCACAATGACTACCGCCCTGTAGAACTCACATCTGAAATCATGAAGGGCTTTGAGAGGCTGGTTACATCAACTCCATCATCCCAGACACCCTAGACCCACTCCTAAATGCATACTGGCCCAACAGATCCATAGACGACGTAATCTCAATTGCACTCCACGCTGCCCTCACCGACCTAGATAAGAGGAATTTCAATGTGAGAATGCTGTTCATTGACTACAGCTCAGCGTTTAACACCAGGATCCCTCTGCAACTGGATCATGGACTTCCTTAAGGGCCGACCCCAGGTGGTGAAGGTGGGCAACATCACCTCCGCCACGCTGAACCTCAAAACGGGGGCCCCACAGGAGTCTGTGCTTCATCCCCACCCGTACTACCTGTTCACCTATGACTGTGTGGCCATGCACGACTCCAACACCATCATTATGTTTTCTGACTACACGACGGTGGTAGACCTGATCACCGGCGACAATGAGATACAGGGAGGTCAGTGACCTGGCAGTGTGGTGCCAGGACAACAACCTCTCCCTCAACGTCAGTAAGACCAAGGAGCTGATCGTGGACTACAGGAGACAGGGGGGTGAGCACGCCCCCATCCACATCGACGGGGCTGCAGTGGAGTGGGTCGAGAGCTTTAAATTCCTCTGTGTCCAAATCACTAAAGACTCTTCCCGCTCAGGAGGTTGAAAAGGTTTAGCCATAGACTGTTCTCTCTGCTTCCACACGGCAAGCGGCACCGGTGCATCAAGTTTGACACCAACAGGATCCTGAACAGCTTCTATCCCCAAGCCATAAGACTGCTAAATGGCTAACTGAATAGTTAACAAAATTGCTACATGGACTATCTGAGTTGACCCTTGTATTTTATTTAATTAAAATTTTTGCCCTGTCTCTATGCACACTCACAGGGCCCTACACACTCACGCACACTGACACTCCAACACATACACAAACACTCACGCCATCATTTGCTCACACACACATCATATGCATTTATACTGACTCTAGACACACACACACACCGACTCACATACAATCATCATATATATTGCTGCTACTCTGTTTATCATACACTGAATGTACAAAACATTAGGAAAACCTTCCTAATATTGAGTTGCACCCCCTTTTGTCCTGTGAACAGCTTCAATTCGCTGGGGCATGGACTCTAAAAGGTGTCGGGATGCTGGCCCATGTTGACTCCAATGCTTCCCACAGTTGTGTCAAGTTTGCTGGATGTCCTTTAGGTTGTGGACCATTCTTGATGAACACGCGAAACTGTTGAGCGTTAAACACCCAGCAGCGTTGCAGTTCTTGACACACTCAAACCGGTGCACCTGGCACCTACTACCATACCTCGTTCAAAGCCACTTAAATATTTTGTCTTGCCCATTCACCAGCTGAATGGCACACACACAATCCATGTCTCACTTGTATCAAAGCTTTAAAATAATTGTTTACCAGTCTCCTCCCCTTCATCTACACTGATTGAAGTGGATTTAACAGGTGACATCAAAAGCGGATCCTAGCTTTCACCTAGATTCACCTGGTCAGTCTATGTCATGGAAAGAGCAGGTGTTCCTAATGTTTTGTACACTCAGTGTATTTCCTGATACCTAGTCACATTTACATTTACATTTACGTCATTTAGCAGACGCTCTAATCCAGAGCGATTTACAAATTGGTGCATTCACCTTATAGCCAGTGGGATAACCACTTTACAATTATTATTATTATTATTATTTTTGTGGGGGGTGGGGTGGGGTAAGGGGGGGGGGGGGGTTAGAAGGATTACTTTATCCTATCCCAGGTGTTCCTTAAAGAGGTGGGGTTTCAAATGTCTCCGGAATGTGGTGAGTGACTCCGCTGTCCTGGCGTCGTGAGGGAGCTTGTTCCACCATTGGGGTGCCAGAGCAGCGAACAGTTTTGACTGGGCTGAGCGGGAACTGTGCTTCAGCAGAGGTAGGGGAGCCAGCAGGCCAGAGGTGGATGAACGCAATGCCCTCGTTTGGGTGTAGGGACTGATCAGAGCCTGAAGGTACGGAGGTGCCGTTCCCCTCACAGCTCCATAGGCAAGCACCATGGTCTTGTAGCAGATGCGAGCTTCAACTGGAAGACAGTGCAGTGTGCGGAGGAGCGGGGTGACGTGAGAGAACTTGGGAAGGTTGAACACCAGACGGGCTGCGGCATTCTGGATGAGTTGTAGGGGTTTAATGGCACAGGCAGGGAGCCCAGCCAACAGCGAGTTGCAGTAATCCAGACGGGAGATGACAAGTGCCTGGATTAGGACCTGTGCCGCTTCCTGTGTAAGGCAGGGTCGTACTCTCCGAATGTTGTAGAGCATGAACCTACAGGATCGGGTCACCACCTTGATGTTAGCGGAGAACGACAGGGTGTTGTCCATGGTCACGCCAAGGCTCTTCGCACTCTGGGAGGAGGACACAACGGAGTTGTCAACCGTGATGGCGAGATCATGGAACGGGCAGTCCTTCCCCGGGAGGAAGAGCAGCTCCGTCTTGCCAAGGTTCAGCTTGAGGTCACCTTACCCCTATACATATCTACCTCTATCACTCCAGTATCCCTGCACGTTGTAAATATGGTACTGGAACTGACTGACCCTGTATATAGCATACTTACTTACTTTCTTGTATTCTTCTTATTTCTTATTTTTATTTCTCGTGTTTTTGTTCTACCTTATGTTTTTTTAGTATTACATTCTTATTGATCGCTGAATTGTTGGGTTTAGAGCTGTGACATTAAAACTTGGAACACACACACAGCCCTCTTTTAAACATGGTGTGTTGTTCTGTAGCTAGCTATAAACTTAACTACTACATTTTGATGTTGCAATGATCATCTAATTTCGTACAACATTGTCAAACCTCCTTCCAGTCTGTAAACCAAGGCCCTTAGACTTTTAAAACCAATAAGAGTCTAAGCCGGTCTAAGCTGAGGGACTGGGGGGGTTCTACTAAGCTATATGTGGAATTGTTTTCAGAAGCTCATACCAATGATAATTTAGATTTGGAATTTTAAGATTCCTTGAAGTTTCAAAAATATATATAAAAAAATAATGTTTTGGCCTTACTGCTATTAGCTCATACAAATGCATTGAAAATCAGATTCACTACATGGAACAAAAGATAGTCCCCCCAAAAAATCTAAAAGTTTGTCCAAAACATGGACGTGTTCATAAGAGTCTCACCTTTCCACAGAGGGGTCATAATAGTTTGTAGGCCTAACTGTTCGGACGCTACAGACAACATTGTAAGACAACAGATTTTCGGGATGTCTCATGGTCTGACAAACACCGCTCTAGCTCTGTCACGTTTCATTGCAGATATGGAAGTGCGACATAGGCGGATGTGGTGGATTGAGACCCATCCAATGCAAAAAAAAAAAAAAAAGATATCTCTATCTTAAACTGAAGGATTCTTATGGGGATTTTGTTATTTTGCTAATTGATTTCCGCGGGGGCGCGGACATCGACCTTGGGTGGTTCTGTTGTCAGACACACACACTCCCCAGTGATATACAGCAGCTCCTTTTCAATCTGCCAGATACACACACGCACACACACTTGCACGCAAGCATACACGTGCACACACCTAATGACACACCTTATCTCTCTTTCAGACTAGTGTTTGTCCTTCGTCTCCTGTGTTTATGGGTGTTGATGTGAAACAATCCCTGAGTAGAATACCATGTCCTTTTGTAT